CCAATACAGAAATGTTTTATTTAGCATATCTTTTATATCTGGACCTGAGAAACTTTGACACAGGGAATACAGAAAAGAAAAATTATTGGGCAATCTCTTCTGGTAAGGTCAAAGAACATTTGAATAAAGCTAAGAAAACCATGGAACTGCTTGATGTTTTTTATTTCTTTAAAATATTTTAAGTAAAAGTAGATCTAATATTATTTTGTTTGAATTCCAAGTATAAATCAAAACCAAAACATTAATTTATATATAAATGTTACGGATATAAGTTATTCAAATAACTTCAAAGTTTAATCATGCTTCTGTGATGATGGCATTTGAAAAGGGTGGTGAACTGGGGGCCTGGGTGGTATAGTTGGTTAAGTGTCTGACTCTTGGTTTAAGCTCAGGTTGTGATCTTGCAGTCATGAGATGGAGCCCTGTGTCAGGCTCCATGCTCAACTCGGAGTCTGCTTGAGATTCTTCCTCTCCCTCTGCCCCTCCCACTTATACTTGCTCGCTCTCTCTCACAAGTAAATAAATAAATAAATATATTTTTTTTTAGAGAGAGATTTATTTATTTATTCATGAGAGACACAGAGAGAGGCAGAGACATAGGCAGAGGGAGAAGCAGGCTCCATGCAGGGAGCCCGATGTGGGACTCGATCCTCGGATCTCAGGATCACGACCTGAGCCAAAAGGCAGATGCTCACTTGCTGAGCCATGCAGACATCCCTAAATAGATAAATCTTAAAAATATATATTTGACAAAGAAAAGGATGGTGAGCTGGTTGGATGCATAAAATTTCTAGTGTAGGGGATCCCTGAGTGGCGCAGCGGTTGGGTGGCTGCCTTTGGCCCAGGGCGCGATCCTGGAGACCCGGGATCGAGTCCCACGTTGGGCTCCTGGTGCATGGAGCCTGCTTCTCCCTCTGCCTGTGTCTCTGCCTCTCTCTCTCTCTCTGTATGACTATCATAAATAAATTTTAAAAAAAAATAAAAAAAAATTTCTAGTGTAAGCTATATTAACTTTTGACAGTGGGATGACTGGCTGGCTAGGTGAATGACTATGTTTTTGTAAGTTGATACATATATAGACTATATGTGCATACTCATATGCACATACATAATGTGTATGAGGGAGAACACAATTTTTTTCCTCATGTAAGAGAGAAATGATTTTATTTGCTTTTGTTAAAACATAAAACACATATAAAGAAACTTCTCATCCACTCCCTAGTTTATTGCCTCCATATGTGTATAAAGCACTTTTTTAAGGGTGGGAAGTTGAAGTTCTCTGGTTAAAATACTTTTTAATGTGTTTATTTCTTAGGTAGAGAAGATTATTTGTAATTTAAAACCAGCTTTAAAACTTCGTCTTCGATTCATCACACACATTAGCAAGATGGAACCACCTGCAGTGCCTCCACAAGCCATAAATAGTGGGTCTCCAGCTCCTCAGTCTAATCAGGTGCCTGTGTCATTACCAGTAACTCAATGAAGTCCTCTCGTGTATGGTGTTTACAATGGAAATACATTTGTCTTTGAAAATGGACTCTAATCTATTAAATCTGAACATAATCAGGCTACATAGTGGTGTAGTAGAAGCAGTGATGTTCAGATTGTCTTATTTTGATTCAAATGATGAATCTACTGATACTTTATGACTCCCACCTCTCTATCTATATTTTTGTCTCTAAGAGATCTGCTACATGTTGGCCATATCTATAACTATTAGTGCTACCTAGGAATACGGAGGGTATCTATGGTCAAATGAGTTTCATTAGATACTTCCAGTCCTTCTTATTCTAGCCACTGGTTTTATTTTTAATTTTTATTGTTAATGACTTCAGTGTTCAAATATATTAGAAAAGAGTTCTCAAATGATTTTATACATAAGTCTCTTTTGGTGTATGTTTGGGATAAGAGATTTTTTTTGTCAAGTGAAGGCCTCTAGATTTCATTGCATCTCAGGAGCAAACACAGTTGCATATTTTTTTAAAAATGGCTTAAAATTTTTACCATAGGTTTCTAAATAAATGGGTTAATGGTTCTATCAACGTAGATTGGCAAGTTAGTTGCCTTTGCTGTGGACTTGAACTTATTGTATGAAATGAGTTGGAAGCCATCTAAGAAAATAACATAGAGGGACACCTGGGTGGCTCAGTGGTTGAGCATCTGCCTTTGGTTCAGGGCGTGACCGTGGAGTCCCAGGATCGAGTCCCACATCAGGCTCTCTGCGTGGAGCCTGCTTCTCCCTCTGCCTATGTCTCTGCCTCTCTCTCTTTCTGTCTCTCATGAATAAATAAATAAAATCTTTAAAAAATAAATAACATAGAAATGCATACACTTAATAAAGTCATGCTTAAATGGTGATTCTCCAATCTCTGTTTTTAAAAATAAATTAATTGCTTTCCAAGTTTGACACTTTGACCTGGCCTATGATGCGATTCTTTAAATTTTTATAAAAAATCTTAAAATGTTTAAGTATTTGTATTTTTAAATATAGCATACTTTTTGGTTCTTTAGGGTTTATCAGATTTTGAAAGACAAACTGTTAATTTGGGGAGAGGGAGAATGGCATTAAGATTGTAAAAGACTTGAAAAATAATCAGTAAAAGACTTGAAAAATAATCAGTAAAATCTGTTGGATAAATAAATGGTTTGATTATTTATTCAATCTGAACAAGTGTCTGCTGTGTTCCAGGCAGTATGCTGACTGGGTTACAACAGAGAACTGGACTGTTTCTATGGGATATGCACTATAGTTGGTGACTGACATTGGCCTAGGAATTAAGAGTTACTGCTTTTTGTTGTTTTTTTTTTTTTTTTTTTTTAAAGAATCAGAGAAGTTTGACAAACCAGATCTTTATTTCCAAATACATTCCTCTTAGGCCTTTATATTCCTTGTGGTTCATATTTTTCTAATCATTAAATCTTTATTTGCCATGTAAAATTTCTTTAATTGTATAAATAATTTTTCTAGGTTAATAATATCCTTAAAATTCTCCAGAAATTTTAAGCTAGAAATGAATTCAAGTATTGCTTTTTTTTTTTTTTAAGTATTGCTTTTAACATAGTTTCAGTATGTTCTCACTGTCTTGAAGAATATGTCTTGAGATCATAGAATGGAAATAATTGTGACCCTGATATTATACCCACAATAAAGGAAGTGAAAATCAGTGTCACTTTCTTAAGGACAGATACATTCCAGTTAATTTATTAAAAATTCGGGGATCAAGGGATCCCTGGGTGGCGCAGCGGTTTGGCGCCTGCCTTTGGCCCAGGGCGCGATCCTGGAGACCCGGGATCGAATCCCACGTCGGGCTCCCGGTGCATGGAGCCTGCTTCTCTCTCTGTCTCTCTCTCTCTCTCTCTCTCTCTCTCTGTGACTATCATAAATAAAATAAATTTTAAAAAAATAAAAATAAAAATTCGGGGATCCCTGGGTGGCTTAGCGGTTTAGCGCCTGCCTTTGGCCCAGGGCGCGATCCTGGAGTCCCGGGATCAAGTCCCACGTCGGGCTCCCGGTATGGAGCCTGCTTCTCCCTCCTCCTGTATCTCTGCCTCTCTCTCTCTCTCTCTCTCTCTCTCTATCATGAATAAATAAATAAATAAATCTTTAAAAAAATTTTATTAAAAAATTCCATTTTTTTCCTCTCCAACTAAAAATACAGGGATGTGATTTTCCTGAAATAGGCTTTTGAAAGAATTGTTAATCAGGCATTAGAAGAAGATAGATTTATTTGGTTTTAGAATGCACCTGAGGACAAAATAATGCCTGTATATTCATTGTATCCTAAAAGTTTTTCTTTCTGAAAGTTAAGAGTAATTTTAGAGTGGCTGTGTCCAACAGGACTTTCTACAGTGGTAGAAATATTCTCTATCTGTGCTGTCCAATACAGAGTCAGAAGCTACATGTGCCTACTGAGCACTTGAAATGCTTCTCCCTCTCTGCCTGTATCTCTGCCTCTCTGTGTGTCTCTATGAATAAATAAATAAAATCTTTAAAAAAAAAAGGAAAAAAAAAAGATCCATCACAATTGCTCTTATCTAAAAGTAATTAGGTTGCATGTGAAAAATCAGGTGATAAGGCTCTTTAACACATAGCTATTACAGCAATAAAAATCCTTTCATGGGATGGACTTCATTACAGATCCACTGAAGTTCTATAGAAGTTGAGGAAGGAGAAGGGGAAGAGTTCGCTTCGCTTCCCTGGTTTTGATTATACACCTGACCCTTGAACCATGCAAGGGTAGGAAATTTACAACTTTTGACTCCCCAAAAGCTTAACTACTGATGGCCTATTAATGACTGAAAGCCTTACTGATAACATTAGCAGCCATTCAACACATATTTTATATATTATATGCATTATATACTATATTCTTACAGTAAAGCTAGAGAAAAAATGTTACTAAGAAAATCCTAAGAAAGAGAACATATATTTTATGTTGCTGTGCTGTATCAAAAAAAAAAAATCTTTCTGTAAGTGGGCGCATGCAATTCAAACCCTTGTTGTTCAAGGATCAATTGTAGTTTACTCTTATTTATTTTATTCCACTTCCCTTACTATATGCCTGAGCCAAGATGAGTGTTTGGGTTGTTTGAGGATTTCAGCTAATGAGACATACTATAATTTCAGTGGGTGAAGTTGAGGGTGGGGGGAGTGTTTAGGAGCCACAGATAATTCTATGTGAAATTCCCATCTGAATTAGAAGATCTTAGAAACAGCAGTTTGATTTCTTTTTCTACCTCCAAAAAGGCTACCAGAATAGCAGCCTTGCTTAAAATATAAATCAATATCATGTCTGAGGTTTAGACAAAGCAAAATGTGATCATTTAACATTAATGAACTTAGAGATTCACGAGGCCTAACCATTACCCATTTTACAATTGAAGAAACCAGAGCCAGAGTTTCATCTCAGCAGTCCTACAATTTTGGGGGGATGATGATTTCACTGTGGCTGTTTAAACCCTTAGTAAATCTATGTGTTTAGAAACATACAGACATAATAGAACCTTAATATAAAGAGTTTATTATAAAGATCACATCTTTTGAACAACCTGGGAATATGGTCTCTTTTCAGGTGGGGTATCTTTATCTCCTGATATCAAGAGTCTCACCCTAGGTGTCTTTTTAATTACACAAAAGTTAGGATTTCCAAGTCTTGACTTTCACACCAAGAGGGAATTGGTAGCTCATATTAATTATACTAATACTTTACAAGGCAGAACATTTTTCAGAAAGACCAAACCTTTGGGAGGATAACTGTAAGCTTAAGTAAATTATTAGATTAGCTAATTATGACATTAGCTGTGAGATTTTTACAGATGTTTCCACATTTACTTAGGTGGGTTAAGGTAGTCAATAGGCTTATGATTACCCTCCCGAGCAACTCCGAAGCAAGCCAGGGTTATTGCTACTGCTGTGTTCACTGTTCGAGTTATTTCTTCTGGAGTCTTCCCCAGAGATGGGTTCACTTCCATTATATCTAATCCTGAGAGTAGCCCTGTAACAACAATTGAAAATAATGTAATTTGTTAGACAATTGACATGTTTAATTCAGTACCCTGCCTTGAAATATTATCTAGGAGTATAAACAGGTGGTGATTGCCTCATGTGATCAGCATTCTGGAAGTGTCCAGGAGGACTTGATTTTCAGATTGGGGGAGCGGGGGAAGGTATAGTTATATACTGGCTATGTTTATACTTGCTTCTCTATTCATCCCAATTTTCACCTACCTGTTTTGTAAATTTCTTCTGTAATGTAGAGACCTTCTCTGTAAGACAGACCTCCCGTGACTGGTGTGCCCGTAGCTGGTGTGAAGGATGGGTCCAATCCATCAACATCAAAGCTCAGATGAATTGGTCTTTTTTTTCTTTTAAGAGGTAGGAAAGAAATTCCATTTAAAGTTGGTGGTTTAAATGGAATATTACTCAGCCATTAGAAACGACAAATACCCACCATTTGCTCCGACATGGATGGAACTGGAGGGTATTATGCTGAGTGAAATAAGTCAATCGGAGAAGGACAAACATTATATGCTCTCATTCATTTGGGGAATATAAGAAATAGTGAAAGGGAATAAAAGGGAAAGGAGGAAAAAGGAGTGGGAAATATCAGAAAGGGAGACATGAGAGACTCCTAACTCTGGGAAATGAACTAGGGGTGGTGGAAGGGGAGGTGGGGGTAGGGTGGGGGTGACTGAGTGACAGGCACTGAGGGGGGCACTTGATGGAATGAGCACTGGGTGTTATTCTATATGTTGGCAAATTGAAAAATAAAAAATAAATTTAAAAAAATAACTGAAAAGAAAAAATCATAAGAACTACAGTTAGCAAGATTCAAAATAAAAATTAAGTAACTCTTCAAAAAAAATAAGTTGGTGGTTTAATATACAGTACATAAATATAGTTCTTACCTTGCTTTATAAAAAGTAACAATCCAGTGAAGTTCCATATTTTACATGAGGGCTTTATTAATAATTTACATTGATTAGCATCAGTAGGAAATCCTTTTAATAATATTTACATTACACCCACACAAGCATCATACCTTCCTAGTAGATAGCTGAGTGCTTCTTCCATCACCTTGCCAATTCCCAGTTTATCCACTTCAGTCATTGAAAAATATTTAATACCCAGAGTTTTCAAAATGTAGCTATGAGGAGATAGTAAGATAATCCTACAATTAATTAAGAGTATAACTCTATGCCCTCATTTCCTTTCCCATTCTTTTAAAGAAAAGATCATTGTGGTAAGATTCACAAAATATTTAAATTCTATGAACTATATGTATATATAAATATTTTTAACAGCAGGTCAACTAATGTAAAAAATCACCTGATTTATATACATAAATATTTATATGGGTATATAGATATTGACATATATACCTGGTGCTTATAATCATTTTTTTCTCATAGCTTTGACCAGCATGCCTAGCATGCAAAAGAGAAAATGAAGATAATTCACATCGAGGAATAAACTTACTGTTCCCCAGGGTCCACATCTCTTAGGCCAATATACACAATATCTTTGGCAGATAGGCAAGGAGTCACCCAGGAGAATCCTGGTATATCAGGTATCTAAAATTGCAGTATTTCCATTTGGTTAATACATGTGATTCTTGAGCAAATCTTACATTTAAAGTTAAGTTGCACATATCTTATATTTAGAACATAAATTTCAAGGCAATCATTAAAAGAAGATACAAAATTGAGAAGACACTGCCTACCTCTGCTTGTGGTACTCTATAGATGACATGTATAGAGCTACCTTCAGCCTGTGGCTCAGACCCGACCTGAATCATTTGGTCAGCATTTGCCTGCTCTGTGCCCCCATTCCACTGGGCCCTGCTTTTCCAAAACTGCTATAAAAAACTCAAGTGTGCTTTTATAATTTTTCATAGCTTTTTCTTTATTTCTCTTCTCAGTAAGGACTTAATCCCAAGGATGGTTTAGAGTGACTAGGGGAAATTCTGAAGTAGACCTTTGGTTGCTCTCCAAATGTCCTAGAGCCAAGAGTGGCTATTGCCATGTGCTAACTACACTGCAAGTTTATAAACCTATCACTTGGTCATCAGTTCAGAAAGTGTTACTTCAGGGATGCCTGGGTGGCTCAGTGGTTTTAGAGCCTGCCTTCAGCCCAGGGCATGATCCTGGAGTCCCGGGATCAAGTCCCACATTGGGCTCCCTGCATGGAGCCTGCTTCTCCCTCTGCTTGTCTCTGCGCCCCCCCCCCCATGAATAAATACATAATCTCAAAAAAAAATGGGGCAGCACCGGTGGCACAGCGGTTTAGTGCCACCTGCAGCCTGGGGTGTGATCCTGGAGACCCGGGATCGAGTCCCACATTGGGCTCCCTGCATGGAGCCTGCTTCTACCTCTGTGTCTCTGCCTCTATCTCTCTCTGTGTGTCTCTATGAATAAGTAAATAAAATCTTTTTTAAAAAAAGTGTTACTTCTGAGCATTTAACAAGGGGATTTGAATCCCCAAGTATTATTGTAAAGACCCATATTCTACAGCTACATCAATAAAAATTGTTTTATTTGCTACAGAATATCAATGAATATGAACCACAATGTTAAATCTTAATCTGGAATGTCATCTCACATCTTTTAGAAAAATTTCTAAAGAGCAAGGAGTTCTTCCTCTTATGTAGATACAAACTTCTCATAGTAAAGATGTTAAATAATAAACCATTGTAATTCACATTTTAAAACTCCATTTTTGAAAAAAAAAATTAAAAAATAAACTCCATTTTTGAAAAAGATCCCATGATGTGGAGGAGACGATTGGTAAGAATGAGAGCCTGTGTGGCAGGCAGCAGAAAGAGGTAGGTTATAGGAGACCAGTTCTGGCCCTTGCCTTGCTATGTGCTTGACATGTATCTTGAGCAAGTTAACTTCTGAATCTCTACTGACTTGCTTATAAAGGATTACTCTCTGCCCTACACACTAAAAAGTGTAGTTTAAGAATCAAAAGGAAAGATAGATGTAAAGTCAGTTTGCAAACTGTCATGTAAGGTAGAGGCACAGAGCCTCACTACCTTCATGCACCAACCCTTAAGCTTATTGGCTGCTGAGGAAATGGTTTGAGATTACACCAAAAATAAGATGGCATAGGGTTCTTCCCTTGTAACTCCTGAACCTCTGCTAAAGAGCTGATTCTTTCCTAATAGAATACCAACCAGCCTTTTACCTTTCCTTTTAGTTCCTTCAGGAGGAAAGACACAGGTTGTCCGTGCAAGTTCCCACTTGTGGTTGTCAGTGGAGTGTTGATATCAGTGTGAGCATCCACCCAAATGACACAGAGATCTGGGTGGACCCTGGCATGGCCAGAGATGCTTCCAATAGCCATGCTTTAGAGGAAAAAAAGTTTGTGTGAACATCAGGTTTGCAATATTATTACATCCATCATATTATGAACTCAGTGCTCTCACTTGGTTTTCCTTTAAGTCAAAATGGCTGATATTTCTGATAGGTTTTTAATTGGAGATGCCAGTTAAGCAATTACAACAGTAGAAAAGCACAGCTTATGCTTAATTACTAATAAGTTAAGTTTGCATCAATGGCCTTACTAAATGTGATTTTAGGGGGAAAACCGCCTTCTAATAAAATTGCAAATTATTGTTTTAACCAAAAATTAAATCTGTATAAACACAGTAGCCACACAAGAAATTCCTTAGCATGAGACTATTTAATTCTCAAGACTAAATCAGACTCATTTTCTGTACTCTCATCTCTCTTGGTAAATACTTCATTCTCTCAAATGACTTACCACAGAGCTCATTTTTCTTAAAATCCAATTATTTTACAATTAGGGAGCGTCACTCAGAAATCCCTGCATCCACTTCAGCCAACATACCCTGGGTGCTCACTTGCTGTTCAACACTCAGGCGCTCTGCTTGAACTTTCTACCTGCCATACATTTAAAGACCTTCTCTTGGGGATCCCTGGGTGGCTCAGCGGTTTGGCGCCTGCCTTTGGCCCAGGGCATGATCCTGGAGTCCCGGGATTGAGTCCCAGGATCGAGTCCCGTGTCGGGCTCCCAGCATGGAGCCTGCTTCTCCCTCTGCCTGTATCTCTGCCTCTCTCTCTCTCTATGTCTATCATGAATTAATAAATAAATCTTTTAAAAAATAAATAAAGACCTGCTCTTAGCCCCGTCCAGAACTTTCAAAATTCAGCTCAAACACTCCAAGCTCCAGAAAATTTTCCAGAATGGAAGAGCTAAGTGGTATTTTACACAAAATTTCAAAGATTAGGATTTGTCATACAGCGCCCATGTTCTCCCACCTGCAGATGATCAAATATCATTCAGAGAATTGTGGAACTTATAGATTCTCAAAGTGATGGCACTCTGCCTTGAAGTTTAGTTCTTGATTATCCAGCTTGATATTTGTTTTCCCTTCATATTTTTGGTCTTGGGGCTATTTGCCACTCAAAATTTCCACTTAAGATTTTTCCACTTAAAATAGAAAGTGAGCCCTGGTTTCTCAACTTCAGTTTCATCATGCAGAAGCCCTCCTTTTTTTTTTTTTTAAGATTTTATTTATTTATTCATAGAGACACAGAGAGAGAGAGAGAGGCAGAGACACAGGCAGAGGGAGAAGCAGGCTCCATGCAGGGAGCCCGACGTGTACTCGATCCCGGGTCTCCAGGATCACGCCCCGGGCTGCAGGCGGCGATAAACTGCTGCGCCACCGGGGCTGCCCCAGAAACCCTCCCAAAGTTCTGCTTTAGAGGAAATCAGGGAGCTGAAGTGATTGACTCTTGCATCAAGAGCCATTGTCATGCTTGTACTTTTTGATCTGATCAGACTTCTGATAATGTATTCAGGGACCTTGAGAGTAGACATCAAAAGGCTCATGCACAAAAATGGTCTTTACCACATTATTTATAATCATGAAAATTTGAAAATTATCTGAATATGTGGCAATATGGACATCTATAGTGATTTAACACCTTGATGAAAAATTACACAACAGGAATTGTATATTGTATATATGTATACATACGAAAAATATGTATATTGTATATATCATGAAGTAACAGGGAAATTTATACTTTAAGAACAAAGTATAGGATAACACCATTGTTAAACAAAATCAGGTACAAGGAAAACAGTACGGCAGGAAGGAAATAATGCCAAATTTGCAATTTCACTTGAAATGGTGGTTAGGAAACTGCAATTACTACTATTTTATTTATGTGTTTGTGTGTGCATTTCAGAAGTTTGAAATTATTACTTTTATAACGGGAGACATACTTGTAAAGGTTGACTTAAATGAGTTATTCCTGTTATCAGGAATCAAGTGCAATAAGTTGGCTATGAACTTCCTCATGCTTATTTATTTAGGAATGTGAGTTTGTACTGAATATTTTACTGAAATCCATTCATGTTGTGTATTTTCTGCTGTAATAAAGATAGTGCAAGACTTCAAATAGAGCTAAGTCTCTATTTCCAGAAGAAAGTAATAACCAAAACAATTTAAAAAGTCAGAAAATTAGGTACAGAGTATTGATCAGTGCTTTCCCATTCATATTTTCTCTTTTCTTACGGTTTTGGTTATGCCATTTGTGCCAGATTTCGCAGAGAGAATCATTAAACAAGACCTGTGGTCTCCACCCAGCACCAGGCTAGTCCTTCCGTTCTTCTTGACTTCTGCCACCACACCAGCCAGCTGCTCATTCGCCTTGCCCACAGACCTTGGATTCTTCACAATTTGAAAGGGAGGATCACTAGGGACGTCAACAAAGGGCACGTCCCCATAATCTTTCACATCACAGTCTATAATTAAGACCAAAAGTTTCAGATTACTACAGAAAGATTGCCAAACAGTCCATGTAGGAGGATTCCAAATTCACAAAACAGTGTACTTTTATAAGTAGAAGCAAAGAAAATACCTGGAAGGACTGTAAAAGTTGCAAAGGTAGAAACCATGTCTGCTTTTGCCTGACATCATCATCTCAGCTGTAAACTGGGCTCTTGGTAAATACTTCTGGAATCAATCCAGTGAGGCTGGACACCAAAGCCTAAGAGCACTAATCTTCTGGTTTGGGCTTAATGAGTGGCCTCACTGTCTTTATCTCTGTATGGCCCTCTCTGCTTATATGCTTTCTACTCTTCTCCAGTAAGCATGTTTTTCTATTTGTAATAAAGAAATCATTTTTTTAAAGAAGAAAATACACCAGTATTAAATTTTCTGACTATAAATACACCAGTATTAAATTTTCTGACTATAATTAACAATTCTTGGTTTCAATCCAATCTGCCACCTGCTGAAGCAGTTCAGCTCCCTCCACTGTGCACTGCACCTATCTCATGGTAGTATTGTCAGAATTCAGTAAGAGTGTGATTAGCAACGAGCATCACACGTCAGGGAGCTCAGGAAATAAAGGCTTAATTATTAGACCTTTTTAATAAGGAGAAATCGCAGGTAACTTGAAGTTCCTAAGGACCTGGGTGGACTTCCTAGAAGGCCTTGCATTAGGAGGCTTCAAGATACAGACCTCACATAAAACTGTGACATGAGATCAGTTGAGTGCTCTGAACTAAGTAGTCATTGTATATTGTATTTATTATATATTTGTGCATATCCATGATTCAGGGACACCTTTAACTAATTTAACCTGATATAAAATCTGACCAAGTTATGCTTTTTAACTGAGAGACAGTCCAGTCCATTTCTACAACCCTTCTGTTCTCTATCCCCCCTCCTTTTTTCAGCTTCATGACATAATTCTTACTTACTAAAATTCATTTTAAGTGTACAGGTCAGCAAGTTTTAGAAATATCTACAGTCTTGTAACTGCCACCATAATCAAGATTAGAACACTTTCATTAGCCCCCCAAAATTCCCTAATGCCCCTTTGCGGTCATTCCCTGCGCCCACACCAAGGCAACTGCTGATGAGCTTTCTGCTGCTATGCTTCTGTCTTTTCTAGAATTTCATGTAAAAGCAATCATGCAGTAGGTAGTCTTTTGTGTCTGGTCTCTTCCGCTTAGCATGTTGTCTTTGGGGTTCAACCATGTTTTTGCCTGTGTCAGTGGTCTGTTCCTTTTTACTGTTGGTTACTGTTCCATAGTCTGGATGTACCACTTGTCTTGGATCCCTTCACCAGCTGATAGGTATGTTGTTGTTTCCGTTCTTTTGGCTATTATAAATAATGCTGCTAGAAGCATTCAAGTACAAGTCTTTGTATAGATAGGTTTTCACTTTTCTTGGGTAAATACCTAGGAGTAGATTTTCTGGGCCAAAAGGCAAATGTATATTTATTTAAGAAACGTCCAAACTGGGCAGCCCCAGTGTCCAAAGGCAGAGGCTCAACTGCTGAGCCACCCAGGCATCCCATCTGGTCATCTTTCAATGGAAAAATTACCTTGTTCTTTAAGTTTCTCCAGCAGGCCAGCCTTCCTCAGTGCTGTGGGGCCTTTTTCCACCCCTCCTCGTGGCTGAATGATTAAAAGAAATAAAATAATTCAGACGTGATCAGATGTCCACAATAGAAAATCTCTTCATTCTTTAACCAAGTGAATAGTAACTATCATTTTTTGAGTTCCTACAGAGCCAGGAATTTTTTTTAATAATAAATTTATTTCTTATTGGTGTTCAATTTGCCAACATACAGAATAACACCCAGGGCTCATCCCGTCAAGTGCCCCCCTTAGTGCCCGTCACCCATTCACCCCCACCCCCCGCCCTCCTCTCCTTCCACCACCCCTAGTTCGTTTCCCAGAGTTAAGAGTCTTCATGTTCTGTGTCCCTTTCTGATATTCCCTACCCATTTCTTCTCCCTTCCCTTCTATTCCCTTTCACTATTATTTATATTCCCCAAATGAATGAGACCATATAATGTTTGTCCTTCTCCAATTGACTTATTTCACTCAGCATAATACCCTCCAGTTCCATCCACGTTGAAGCAAATGGTGGGTATTTGTCATTTCTAATGGCTGAGTAATATTCCATTGTATACATAAACCACATCTTCTTTATCCATTCATCTTTCGATGGACACCGAGGCAGAGCCAGGAATTTATACCATCTCCTTGAAGCATCCCAGAAAGGCAGATTGAGTTAGTCCTATGCCAAATATGAGGATCTAGAATCAGAAAGGTTATATAATTTTCGTGTAGACACACAGCTAACAAGCGGAAGAGCCTTTGTTCATAACAGGTTCTTTGGATTCCAGAACCTGCATCTCCTCTTCCCATGACAGACACCACACTGTCAACATGGTGAACATGTATTTTGTGCAAAACCACTCTGATAGAGATACAATCACTAAAAAGAGAGGGCTTCTGTTTTTGAAGAACTCATAAGCTAATAGGGAATTTGTATACTTAACCCCAATTACAGTACTTTGGAGATATGCTTCAGTGTAGACACAAGATATCATAGTAACAAAAACAGGATGCTCCTGATTCTGCTGGGGACAGAGCGTGTCAAGCAAGGCTGCATGGAGCAGATGTCATTTCAGCTGAGTCTTGCAACATGAGGTTTTCAGGAAAACAGATTGAGTGGTAGAGCAACTTGGCTAACCCCAGAATGACTTGGATAAAAGCCTAAGAAAAAAAGAACCTGGCATGAGAGAGCCCTACGTGCAGGTCCTCACAGCAGTGAGTTAGCTGAGTTAGCGAGCTCCCGGGAACGAAACAGGCAAAAGAAATGCATCATCACCTGGGACCTGAATCCAAGATCAACCCAGTATTTCAGGTTTTGACCTGCTTAAGCACGACTAACAAGAATAGTCCCCTTGCTGTTTTTATGTCAGAGAAGTGAGCACACTTCCTCCTTGCAATAAATCCTCTCTAACTTCCTGGCAGAATAGAAATCTGAAGAAACAGTTCTTTTATGTACCTCTCTGATTCTAATTTCCAACTAGGCTTGTACACACAGAAAGTTATTTGCATTACCCAACGACAAGATGCACCGAAAGACACATGTGTCTGTCCCTAGGGTTGGAGCTGTGGCCCCAAACGAAGCAAATATTTCTACCTAATTCCAATTACAGATGACTTGCCCTGGCTGCCAATCCAATCCTGGATGTCAAATTCCCATTCTTGGCAACAAGCACCCACCACCCCTCTGCCTGACACATTCTGCTCTCTTCCTTTGTTCCCTTCTTGCATGACCGCCCCACACACCGCCTTCATTGAGCAGATATAATTGCCCCTTCTTTAAACCTCAATCCAGGGACCCCTGGGTGGCTCAGTGGTTGAGTGTCTGCCTTTGGCTCAGGGTGTGATCCTGGAGTCCCAGGATCGAGTCCCACGTCGGGCTCCCTGCATGGAACCTGCTTCTCCCTCTGCCCATGTCTCTGCCTCTGTTGTATGTGTGTCTTTCATGAATAAATAAATTAAATCTTTAAATAAAAAAGAAAAGAAACCCTCAATCCAGTGCTGCTTGGCTCAAATTTTGCCTTTCATTTTGTGTTTGTTTGCTTGGTCTTTCCTCCATTATTAGATTATAGCCCAGTGTTCTTTCAGCTTGGGGAGATATGTGGTGTAGTGCTTAGTAGATGCTCAAAAACTGTCACCTTGAGAAAACTCCCTGGACAATTCCCTTTTCCTTTCAACCTTTAGAACAAGTCTCAGAAACCTCTTAGTTGACACTATATTTGCTCTAACACCATGGTTAAATTTCCCAGAGTGATACTTTCCATGATTCTTTTTTAGTTGTTTGATTCTAACTGCTTCTCACGATTGCTTTCTTCTTATTTCTTGGTTTATCTGCTCACTTTGGGAATCACTTCTTTAGCTCTACTGACTTTGAGGCTGGGCCCCAAGCCCTAACTGGTCACAAGTGTCAAGTCTGCTGTGGATCCACAGGCATCAACACAAGTCAGGTACATAGTCTTTGGGATTATATGATCCTGTCTGGAATCACACAGTCAAGGCTAGTAATTTAGCAAATTACTAAACGTCTCTGAGCCTTAGTGAACAGTATATTAAGTATAATACTTATCTCATTTTTTGCCATCAACTCTCCCCCACTGCTCACTGCCTTGCAAGGGAGTGAGACGGGATGAAGTCTTCTTAGACTCAACCTTCTAGTCATCTACCCTTAATCTTCTCCTTTGTCTATTTGTAAACTTCTATTGCCTTTCGGTGAGGAGAGATGCTAATATGCTGGCCACTATTTTCCTCCTATGCTATGACTTGGTGTAGAAACATCTCTCTCTGAGTCCTTACTATCAGGAGACAATGAGCTTCATTCTCATGGGGCCAAATTTTAATAGGGGAAGAGCTATAGCAGTAAAGAAAAAAAGTACTAAGAAAAGAAAATGCATCAGGCTGTATTTCAAAAATACTATCCCTTCAAAAGGCTATCTAATTCTCATAGCATTGAATCTGCTGAGATCCAAGGGCCAGAGTATGTTCCGCTTCCGCCTCCTCTCCCTCAAATTTTTTGTTTTCCCTCCCGCCTTTTCTTCCTTTTGTTCAGTTATTTTAATTCTGTCTTCATCAAAGCCCATCCCAAGAATAAGGGAGTATATTGTGGGTTTTGCGATTAACGCGAGCGCTAGAAGAAACACTTCTATGTCAGCAAAATGTCCCCATGTTCTGGGAGAGAACTTTGAAGGACGACGGGGGAAGTGCAGCAGTGTTTACTGACAGTCCAGATGCAGTTCGGGTCTCTACCCTCGACCTCTCCCAATCTGTTTTGCAATAAAACGCCAGAGTGCCAAGCATGAGATCAAAGAAACGCTGCCCAGGTGGGCAAAGAGAAGGTCGAAAATGAAGCCCTGTTTGAAACGACCACCATACCAACCCTAGGAGATCCAACTCACACTTTGTCTTGTTGGCTTGTGTTTTTGTTCTTGGTTTTCCCTGCTTTAAGCACAGACACACGCTGACATCTGAGGTCTATAATCACACCGTCTTTGCCAGGACGAGTGTGTTTGGGCAGAAGAAAAGACATTGCAAAGGGCAATGTTGCTGGCGTGTATTGGCTATCTGGGAATTTCATAAATGCATTAGTCCTTTCATCGTTGCCAACCTCCAGTTGGATTCTCTTTTCTTTCCTTTTTCTTTTTTCTTCCCTCAAAGAGAGATACACAAAGCGTTCTACCTAGCCTATGAACTAACACTTTCATAGAATCATTAAAGCCCTCAAATAATATGATTCACAAAGTTACATAAAGCAATCTCATTTAGGTTTTGCAGAATAAAAGAAGTCTGAAAATTGCTACCAATCTATGAAATGTTTCTAGGCATGAATACAAGACCTGACCAATGTGTTTTCATAGAATCCTCTCACCTTTACACAGGCACTCTAAAACCCAAAGCTATAATACAGAAATAGCCCATTTCCATTCAATAAAAATACATTCTCTTGAACAATACAAAGAAAAATTTAGTAGATTCAAGTAAAATTGGCTGCAGCTGAGATTAGGAGTCCCAAAATGGTTAAGAGGACTTTAAAATCCATATTTCAGGCCCGTCGTACCAGGGAACTGAACTAAAAAGACATTAACAGCTTACTAATTCTAAAGTCTGAAACTTTGTAATGAATTCATTATGCAAGGCCACGCTTTTTACTCACCTGGCCCTTTGAGAAAGGCGCTCCGATGATCCCAATGGATTTTGCCATGGAACTCATGCTCTGCTCCCTTCTCTCCACTGCACTGAGTTCTCCAGCCAGGCACCACTCTCTACAACCCTCAGTGACTGAGGACACATATTTTTTCCATTTATAACTGGGTTGAATCTGTTTACCTTATTCTAATGAGGAAGGCTGGCTCCACCCACTGCACCAAAGAACAGTCAAGTGGAAGTCTCACAAGTTCTTCATACCAGGAACAACCATGAGTCCTTTGAGTCTAGGTCTCTAATTAAATGAGACTATTCATGACACCAGTTCACTCCCATTTTACAGTCAGCTGGATGACTTGAATCTTTTCTAACCACAGCTTCGATTTCCTAAGCATGATAATCATTTCAAATCATAATCAATTAATCATAACCACATATGTAGTGTCATGGTTCTAGCTGTGGAAATGCAAGGCAGGGCACTTAACCTCCTTTAGGCCTCTGAATCCTCCTGTGTGGAACAGGGCTGTATCTAGAGAGTCGGTCGCTCACATGCCTTCCAGCCCTGCCACCCTGAGTACAGGTTTCACACACTAGGATTAATGGTTAATCCATGAGACACACCTCATGCAGCACCATGGTACAGTGTCAAGGGAAGCATATGATTTCCTTTTCTCCTTATTACTTAAAAAAATAATGCAGTATCTGATTAATAACCCAAAGATGTTACCATACAAATTTTGAAATATGGTGTGTGGGGGGATAACAATTCTTGGAATCATAATATAATCAAGATATAGCAATAAAAATAGCCAACATTAAGTTTTTATGTGCCAGATGTTGTTCTCATTTAATCCTATACCAACTGTACAGCAAGTCTTCCCATTTGTTCTTACTGGTAAAGAAACTGAAGCTCAGGAAAGTTGCCAGATGCCATGCACAGATTATAGAGGAAAAGCCATGACTCAGTCTTAGGCTTTCTGGATCCACCTAACCAGTAGGCTCTACAGCCTTTTTTTTTTTTAATTTTTTTTTAATTTATTTATGATAGTCACACAGAGAGAGAGAGAGAGAGAGGCAGAGACACAGGTAGAGGGAGAAGCAGGCTCCACGCACTGGGAGCCCGAGGTGGGATTCGATCCCAGGTCTCCAGGATCGAGCCCTGGGCCAAAGGCAGGCGCCAAACCGCTGCGCCACCCAGGGATCCCTAGGCTCTACAGCCTTAACACAGGTGAAATGTCAGCTCTCTGTGCCTGTTAAAACTGGGTGTCCCTGGAAGTTGTTTATTGTCATGCAAAAGTATGGATTTTAAAGAAAGGCATCTGAAAAATTCCTCCAGCTTTCAAGTGACTGGCATTTAAAAAGGAAAATTCGTTTAGTAGAAACTAATGTCTTTTTCCTATTGATGGAAGAGAATATGATGGAGTACTTAAATGCCATAAGGGCAGGGAATTGTGTCTGCTATATTATCCCCAGGGCTGAGAACAGTGCTGGTGCGTGATCCCACTCAGTACATAGTCATTGAATGAGTCAATGAGGAAACCAAGGACTCACAGATCCATTTTCATAGGACCATTTTCTAACTAGCCTTCCTTTTTCTCACTTGTGAATTTGTCTGTATATCCTAGATATTTACTTGTGGTATTTTTAACCTCTTAGGGTGTTCATGTTGCAAATAACTTTCCAACCTGTCAGTATTTAATCTGATAAATTTGTATATGTTATCACTAAAAATCTTTCATTTTGAAATAGAAAATTCTATATTTCCCCTTATGCTTTGTGTTTTGGCAATTTCATGTAAATCCTTCCTATTCCAATATCAAAAATATGTATTTCTATGTTTTTTTCTGTTTGCTATAGAGTTTCTTTCATACCTAGTTCTACATCCATTTATGCTGTTTAAGTCCTCCAACTATATCTTTCCACATGAAGTCCATCAGTTTCTGCTGTGCAGTCCATTGGTTCACCACTGAATTGTATCTTTTTTTTTTAATTTTTATTTGTTTATGATAGTCACAGAGAGAGAGAGAGAGAGAGAGAGAGAGAGAGAGAGGCAGAGACATAGGCAGAGGGAGAGGGAGAGGGAGAGGGAGAAGCAGGCTTCATGCACCAGGAGCTGATGTGGGACTCGATCCCGGGTCTCCAGGATCGAGCCCTGGGCCAAAGGCAGGCGCTAAACCGCTGCGCCACCCAGGGATCCCCACTGAATTGTATCTCCATCATGTACTAGGTTCCCCTGAAAGCATGAATCTGTCACCAAGTTCTTTTGTCTATTCCTTTGGCTTATTTCCCTGTGGCTGTACCAGGTCTGCACTGTTTTGTTATCATGGGTATGTGGTACATCTAACCATTTTGGGGGCAAGAATAACATTTTTGTTCTTCTTTTTCAAAAGTGATTCAGCTACTTATAGGCTTCTATTCCCCTATGTATTTAGATTAAGTTATTAGAGTCCTTAAAAAGAATTCTGCCAGAATTTTTACTAAACTTATAGGTTAATCCATAGTGATTTGCTTTCTTTCAAATTTCATTGTCAGCATTTTTTTATACTCTAACATCCTGAAGGTTCCTCTTATATCAAGCTGAGATTACCTTCCTATTATTTGATCCATTGATCACAATGCTTCAAACCAGGTAAACCATACTATCTCTTGACTGTCATGTCTTTCTTGGGTCCTCTGTTGGTTACCCTGAATATCCCAAATACTTTACTTGGCTTTTTTGTGTTACATGACTACTATTCTCCTTCAGGTTACCACCTGGTCACTCACTTCAAAATGTCTTCTGACCTTCCTCTGCCCTCCTAGTATGTAGTTCCATCTACAACCAAGTGCATATATACATCTAGGCATCTAGAATCAATCTGGCCCATCAAAGACAAAACTGGTAAGGCTTGGCTTTTCCAGGCTACTGATAAAAATGTTGAATGGCACAGCACCTATGTAAGAGCTCCTTGGCACTCCACTAGAAAACTCAGCTCAGATAGACATAGCTCCATTAATTAATCATCAATCCATAGGTACAGCTGTTTACTCAGCTCACTCAGCCACTTCATCTTGTCCATAAGGGCACCAAAAGGAAGATTACTGAGTGTCCACAAGTTCTTGCTACACTTTGCTACCTTTTGTCATACCAGTCTGACTTCCTTGTCAAAGGTAATGAACTGAGCCTGACAGATACAATTCTTGAAAAACAGACCGACTTCTGGCGATCGCTGCTTCCTTCTTGCTATAAACACAAACGATCTTTTCAGTCTCCAAAGTTGTCATCTCAGGACCTCTAAAGGAAGAGGACAGAAGCCCTCTTATGTATATCATCCCATCAAAGCTCTACTTTTTCCAGGCCAACTTATTATTTATTATTTATTTATTTATTTATTTATTTATTTATTTATTTATTTATTTTTCTATCTATCAACACTATATATATAGTGTTGTTAAAGCCCTTTTCCTAACAATACAAACTCTTAACCAACCTCTTTCTGTCTCTTTTAAAAAATCATATCTGGTATTTCCCTGACAGTGGGACCACATTTTATTTGACTATGATCCAGAGCCACTAGGATGAGATTTGGCACATTGTGCACTCGTCTTAGTCTCTTAGGGCTATAATAAAATACCACAAACTGGATGACTTAAGATGGCAGAAATCTCTTGTCTCAATTCTGGAAGCTAGAAGTCTGCAATCTGGGTGTTGCAGTACCATACTCCTTCCCTATAGGGGAGGTCTTCTTTGCCTCTTCCTAGCTTCGGGTGGTGTTCCAGCAATCTTTGCCATTCCTTGTTTTGTAGATGCATCACACTAATCCTCCGTCTTGACATGGCATTCTCCCTGTGTCTCTGTGTTTTCACATGCCTATCTTTTTATAAGAGCACAGGTCATACTGGGTTAAGGGCTCCTCCTACTCCAGGATGGGGTAATCATCTTCACTAATTACAACTGCAATGACAGTATTCCAAATAGGACCACATTGTGAGATACTAGAGGTTGAGACTTTCACGTATCTTTTGGGGAAATACAATTCAGAACATAGAATGACAGACATATAAAATAACTGTGGCTCTTGAGATAGAGTTGCTTGTCCAAACCACACAACTAACTAAGTCTAAACTGAGATTAGAATCCACATTTTAAAAATTCTTCTAATGCTATTCCTGCCTCCTATGCCACCTCTCTTCACCTACAAGACTTCTTCATTCTTGTAAATGGGATAGTCACCCTATAGCTTTTAAAGTATCAAAGGGATTTTCAGCTTCTTCCAGACACTAAATCCAGTGAGTGGTGAAACACACAGTCTCAGAGAATTGACAAAGAATCTCCAGAAAAATTCATCATGCTCTCTACCCAAATCCAGAGAGTCAATTCAAGTTTTTATGTTATGTTTTAGCATTTGCTTTCTTTTTATTCGTTCTCTTAAATGATGAATACCCTCAAAGTCTAACTTCTCTGGAAATTGAACATAAATCAGAAGCAAAATTTTATTTTCTGCTGAAGAGTTTTAGTATGTTTGCATATTAATTGACACTGGATAGCAATTTCTTATTATTGTTCAAGGAAACCAAAAATGTGCTAATTTAAGAGATGGCAAGGTTTTTTTGTCTTGTTTTATCTGGGTTTTGTTTAATAAAATATCTGGGTTGAAGCTCTGGGAACTAACGTAAATATCCACTGAGGCATTTCTGGAGGAAAGTGTATTTATGTAGTCATTTTCAAGGCTCTTTTCTCTTTGACTTTGGCTTTCTGTAATTTCAGTGTCCTGTATCTAGCTGTGGATTTTTATGTATCTTTCTCCTTCTGAGATTAAAGTCAAAAGTATGTTAGGCTTTTAAACTTTGTTCTCTCTTTTTTTTTTCATTTTTTAATATTTCAAGTTTTTATTTGAATTTTAGTTAATATATAGTGTAATAGTAGTTTCATAAGTAGAATTCAGTGATTCATCCCTTACATACAACACTCAGTGCTCATCACAAGTGCCCTCCTTAATACCCATAACCCATTTATTCTCTTATCTCTTGCTCTTTTTGTCTTCTTGTATTGCTTTTGGGACCTATCTTCTAAGCTGTCCCCTGGTTCAAGAATTCTTTCCACAGCTAAATCTGTTCAATGAATTCTCATTTTCAGTTATTTTATTCTTTTTAAAAAAATTTTTTTCAGTTATTTTATTCTTTTCTCTTTTTTTCTTTTTAGTATGATTTCTTTCTTTCTATACTTATTTTCAAGTCCTCTTTTATGTCCTTAAGCATACTTAACATAGTCAGATTGTAGCCTGGATCTGGTGATTTTAGTATTTGAAATCTTTGTGGACTTTTCTTTGTTCTTATTGTTTCTTTCTTATGGTGACTTGTTTTTTGTTGCCAAATCATCTTTGTTTCTATGCTGGTCATTGTTCATGAAAATATTTTAAGGAATAATGCAAGGGTATGATGAAGGTATCTTCCTCCAGAGATTGTTTCTGGGCATAGTTTCCAGGTATGTGATGGCAAAACAAGTCATGGACC